CACGTGGAACTAAAAAAACCGGTTCCCCCAGAATTGGTGAGACGAGGGGGAGGCTGGGAATTCAAATTCCAGTCCTCGTCTCCTGCCCTGCCAACCAGCCTGCAACTCACCACACTACACGGCCTTCTAGCCACTCACCCAGCCACTCACCCAGCCACTCACCCAGCCACTCACCCAGCCACTCACCCAGCCACTCACCCAGCCATTCTGGTCACCTGGCCAAGCGATCCAGCCTGCGACCCAACCCGCAATTTCACAGAGCTTCCAGTTACTGCCAGAGGACAGCACTGGGGTTTCAATTGCCACGGTTTCGTCGCGCACGATTCGACTCGGTCACGCGGTATACGGGGCCGTCCATAAATGACGTCACGCACCTAGGGGGTGGGGGGGTCAGACATTTGTGACGATGTATGACGATGGGGGGAGGGGGTTTCAGAAATGTGACGTCACGTAAAAATGCGCAACTTTAAATAAATATAGACAACACGTTACACTTAATTAAATAGACTTTTTAGTAAATGTTTTCTCCTAAAACATCAGAGTGCAGCGCCACATTAAATACGCACTACAATGACAATAGTTTAAAGCGATTTGAAGCATGTTTTATTTTGGGGGGGGGCAGAGCTTTGTGACGTCATATTTGAGGGGGGGGTCTGACTTTTTGTGACGCCGTGTGACGAGGGGGGGGGGTTCAAAATCGTCCAAAATCGCGTGACGTCATTTATGAACGGCCCCTATATGCGTCACCATAGTGGTGAATGAGGCGGCTTCTGCATGCGTCTGGGTGAGCTACAGACTAGACGTTCCAGCCCCGAGCACTCCCGCAGGCCCAGGCCAGATCGAGTTCCGCAGTACCGCACCTCGCAAGCCAAGCAGTGGCGAGCTTGGATTTCGGGCTTGGATGGGCACCCACCACGCATGCATCCCAGGTGTTATAGGCTGTTGTGTGGGACTACACGGTTCGGAGGGAAGTGACAGCAAAAACTGTTGTACCGCACCTCCTAGTTCCCTGCACATCTACGCTTCTCACACGTAAATACGCACTGGCAAGGCGTGGTGAAGTATGGTCACACAACCCGCACGGCAGTGGAGGTGGCCATCATCCAGCAGTGGATTAGCAAAGCGCTGTACAGTGCACACAATTTGTGAATATATGTGTGTCTGTTCAAAATGTTTAGCATACTTCCCGACATGCTACAAACTTAAAATTTGGCATGTGGGTAGCTTCCAAAAAGTATAAAAAAATAGACGTTTGTATTTTGGGGGGGGGGGGGCAATAATGGATATATTTTGCACGGCAAGTGAGCGGCGGTGACGTCACATCTGATGTCACCCGCATGCGGCAGCGTCACGCAATGTGCCTGCTGACGTCACGCATCCCCCCCCCCACCCTCCGTGTAGGCCAGGGGTCGGGAACCTTTTTGACTGGGAGAGCCATAAAAGCCAATTATTTCTAAATATATTTCATTGAGAGCCATATAGTATTTTTTACGCATAATAAATTAAATATGTCTTACTTTTAATGCGACATCTGGTGCTGCATGGTTTTGCTGATGGCCTTGTAGTCTGGTTCATACGTGGTGAGGTTGAGCTTCATGCAGGCGTGACCCGTGAAATTTATCTTCAAAACTAATTTCTGTTTACTTTAAAATGACACAGTATTATTAAGCAATATCACAAGTATTTTAAAATCAGTTCCAAACTGATTTTTATTATTATTTTTTTTCAACTCAAAATTGTCTGGGAGCCATATGCCGTCACTGGAAGAGCCATATATGGCTCGCGAGCCATAGGTTGCCGACCGCTGGTGTAGGCCGTGAATTAATCCAAGACAAGAATCCAAGTCCCGGGCGAAGCCGGGTAGTAAAGCTCGTTATACATGTACACTGTGCTGTACTCCCCTTCCTCCAGCCATCCGCGCTGTCAATCCCCTGGCCCTGTTGATGTACACTTTGTACAGGTTTCACAGATTTCTCTTAACACGTAGGCTTTCACGAACAATATCATTCATAATAGACGTTTTTTGGGTTAGGGGCCGTCCATAAATGACGTCACGCGATTTTGGACGATTTTTGACCCCCCCCCCCCTCGTCACACGGCGTCACAAAAAGTGAGACCCCCCCTCAAATATGACGTCACAAAGCTCTGCCCCCCCCCCCCCACCCAAAACCATATTTCCATTTTGAAAATAAAACATGCTTCAAATCACTTTAAACTATTGTCATTGTAGTGCGTATTTAATGTGGCGCTGCACTCTGATGTTGCAGGAGTGTTGTTATAACAATTCTATATTTATTTAAAGTTGCGCATTTTGATGTGACGTCACATTTCTCACCCCCCTCGTCATACATCGTCACAAATGTCTGACCCCCCCCCCCAGGTGCGTGACGTCATTTATGAACGGCCCCTTTATAGGCCTTGTACATCCTCATTGTATAATTGTATGGGTCTCTGTACACGTATTAGTCTGTGTGTTCGTCTATGGATCTCCATGCTAGTGCGAGGAAGCCATTGTGTGTTCATGGATTCCTCCAGTAGAAATACATATTGCGATTCTGATATAAGTCAGTACATGGGTCCAAGTCAATGGGTCTCTGTGCGAGTTCATGGGTCTTTCCGAGTAGATTGGTCTCTGTGTGAGTCTGTGGGTCTCTGTGTGCGTCTGTGGGTCTCTGTGCGAGTCTGTGGGTCTCTGTGTGCGTCTGTGGGTCTCTGTGTGAGTATGTGGGTCTCTGTGCGAGTCTGTGGGTCTCTGTGTGAGTCTGTGGGTCTCTGTGTGAGTCTGTGGGTCTCTGTGCCAGTCTGTGGGTCTCTGTGTGAGTATGTGGGTCTCTGTGTGAGTATGTGGGTCTCTGTGTGCGTCTGTGGGTCTCTGTGTGAGTATGTGGGTCTCTGTGCGAGTCTGTGGGTCTCTGTGTGAGTCTGTGGGTCTCTGTGTGCGTCTGTGGGTCTCTGTGCGAGTCTGTGGGTCTCTGTGCCAGTCTGTGGGTCTCTGTGTGAGTCTGTGGGTCTCTGTGCCAGTCTGTGGGTCTCTGTGTGAGTCTGTGGGTCTCTGTGTGAGTATGTGGGTCTCTGTGCGAGTCTGTGGGTCTCTGTGTGCGTCTGTGGGTCTCTGTGTGAGTCTGTGGGTCTCTGCGCCAGTCTGTGGGTCTCTGTGCGAGTCTGTGGGTCTCTGTGTGAGTCTGTGGGTCTCTGTGTGAGTCTGTGGGTCTCTGTGTGAGTATGTGGGTCTCTGTGTGAGTCTGTGGGTCTCTGTGTGAGTCTGTGGGTCTCTGTGTGAGTATGTGGGTCTCTGTGCCAGTCTGTGGGTCTCTGTGCGAGTCTGTGGGTCTCTGTGTGAGTCTGTGGGTCTCTGTGTGAGTATGTGGGTCTCTGCGCCAGTCTGTGGGTCTCTATGCGAGTCTGTGGGTCTCTGTGTGAGTCTGTGGGTCTCTGTGTGAGTATGTGGGTCTCTGTGCGAGTCTGTGGGTCTCTGTGTGCGTCTGTGGGTCTCTGTGTGCGTCTGTGGGTCTCTGTGCGAGTCTGTGGGTCTCTGTGCCAGTCTGTGGGTCTCTGTGTGAGTCTGTGGGTCTCTGTGTGAGTATGTGGGTCTCTGTGCGAGTCTGTGGGTCTCTGTGTGAGTCTGTGGGTCTCTGTGTGAGTCTGTGGGTCTCTGTGTGAGTCTGTGGGTCTCTGTGTGAGTCTGTGGGTCTCTGTGTGAGTCTGTGGGTCTCTGTGTGAGTATGTGGGTCTCTGTGTGAGTCTGTGGGTCTCTGTGTGAGTCTGTGGGTCTCTGTGCGAGTCTGTGGGTCTCTGTGCCAGTCTGTGGGACTGTGTGCGTCTGTGGGTCTGTGTGTGAGTTTGTGGGTCTCTGTGTGAGTCTGTGGGTCTCTGTGTGAGTCTGTGGGTCTATGTGGGAGTCTGTGGGTCTCTGTGCGAGTCTGTGGGTCTCTGTGCGAGTCTGTGGGTCTCTGTGCGAGTCGATGTCTCTGTGATGTGGCTCTAGGTAGAAGTGTATCTACAGGTGTCTATGGGCTATTTAGACACTACAGTCCAGTATTGTAAATCCACGTTGCATTGTTGTAATTGTTACAAATGGTCATGGTTAAATCTGAGTCACCTGCGTGCCGCGCTGAGGCAGTTTATATTTTTTGAGTCATCAGCAGGGTGTGTCTGGATACATATACGATGCGTGATCTGTTAATGTGTAGTGGTTTCAAGTCCGCCACTATATTCCTGTTGTGATGGCGTTGTTTTCGCTATTTAGGTATTTTCATCTCTGAGCCAGCCGGCTCTGACTGACTGCCCTGACACTCAACACACGCGTCTGTGATGTGACGACTTCACATCCCTGGAGGGGGGGGAGGCAGTGGGGGGAAGGAGGTGGATGTCTCACCCGACCCCACCAAAGACAAAGATCCCCCGTGTAGCCTTAACAGGCTGTTGCGGCAAGCGCCGTTCGCGAGCATCTATGAAGGCCGGAACGGCACACGATGGGGTGGGTGGCCAGCACCACGCCCGACTGCATCTGTCTCCCGGTGGCGATATTTACTACACACCGCACCAGGTACTCATTTGAGGCCGAGTCGACCTAGGGGAGGCCCAAGACCAGTTCAGATATTCGTCACCGGCGTTGGCCGTGGGCGGGAATCGAACTTCGGCACGCCCGGTGGGTAGCGCGGCGTGCTACACCCCCCACCCTACCCCCCCACCCTACCCCCCACTCCTCACCCTACCTCCACCTTACCCCCCACTCCCCACCCTACTCGCCATTCCCCACCCTACCTCCACCTTACCCCCACCCTTCACGCCACCCCCACCCTACCCGCTACCCCCACCCTACCTCCCACTCCCCACCCTACCTCCACCCTACCCCTACCCCACCCTACCCCCTACCTCCACCCACCCCCACCCTACCCCCTACCCCCACCCTACCCCCTACCCCCACCCTACCCCCACCCTCCCCAACACCTCCGTGGGCGCCCCTCCCCCCACCACCCTCACCTGCGGGGGGGGGGGGGGCTGGTGACGTCAGCGAGCTGCAGGCGCGGCGTGAAAATGGCGGCGTGCTCGTAGCGACTTGGGCGTTGTGCTCCCAAACTCGACACGAGGCATCCAGTTCCTCACACGCGTAACCGAGGAACTCTGTGCGGAGATAGATGCCCACGTATTCGTTGGGGGCGGGTTGTTTTCTTGCGTTTCTTCTTAATCTGTTTGTAATTCAGTCACCGGCGATGTGGGCACCGAAGATGTCTGTCCCGGGCCTGCTGCTGGCGGTTGTCTTCTCCTTGGCAGGTGAGTGATGGTGGGTGGTGGTGGTGTGTGGGGTGGTGGTGGGTGGTGTGTGGTGGTGATGGGTGGTGTGGTGGTGGTGTGTGGTGTGGTGGTGGGTGGTGGTGGGTGGTGTGGTGGGTGGGTTGGTGGTGGTGGTGAGGTGGTGGTGTGGTGTGGTGGTGTGTGGTGAGGTGGTGGTGTGTGGTGGGTGGTGTGGTGTCTGGTGTTGGTGTGGTGGTGGTGTAGTGGTGGTGTGGTGGTGGTGTGGTGGTGGTGGTGTAGTGGGTTGGGTGGTGGTGGTTTTGTGGTGGTGGTGGTGTAGTGGTGTGGTGTTGGTGGTGGTGTGGGTGGTGTTGGTGGTGTGTGGGTGGTGTGGTGGTGGGTGGTGGTGGTGTCTGCCGTGGTCTATTCAGGCGACGGCTGTACGGGGGATGTTTGTCTTTGTGATTGGTTATAGGTCGACTGCCTAAAACGAGTACCTGGTGGGGGTGTGTAAACATCGCCACTAGGGAGACAAAGGCGGCCGGGGGGTGATGCTGGCCACCCACCCCCCTCGTGTGGGTTGACCGTCTTGTGTGTTTGACGAACGACCGCAAATTATCACTTATATTTAATTTTCCGAATCTAAGGCAGGTAAAGTTCCGTGTGCCACCATCATCATCCTCGGCCATGATCAATCCACTGCTGGATGAAGGCCTCTCTGCCATAGCTATCTTGTCAATCCCTGCGATCGCGTCGTCTCCCCCCCCCCCGCACCGACCGGCGTGGTGAAGTATGGTCAAACAATACCTCTTGTCGGCTCTTATAAACTAAACTATTAAACTGACGTTACCAGGTGAGGCCCACTGAGGTATTCGGCTCTTTTTCAGAAAGCGACCAGGCCACAAATTAGAGCCCAAACGAAGTGGCCTCATCATCGCGTGGAAACGCAAGGCAGCGAAATACTCTCAAACGCGTGATGTTGGTTTTAAAATGTGGAGGGGAAAAACCGGAGGACCCGGAGAAAAATCCACGCGACCACGGGGAGAAAGAGAGGAGACAGACGGACAGACAAACTCCATAATTATATCACAGTAGAGACATCGTCAAGAGGAAGGCAGAAGAGGGTGGTGTTGGTGGGATCGTCCACGGTGTCTCGAGCCGCGGCAAGAGAGAGGAGGTGGTGGCGATGTTGGTGGTGGTGGTGTTGGTGGTGGTGGTGTTGGTGGCATCGTCCACGGTGTCTCGAGCCGCGGCAAGAGAGAGGAGGTGGTGGCGATGTTGGTGGTGGTGTTGGTGGTGTTGGTGGTGGTGGTGTTGGTGGCATCGTCCACGGTGTCTCGAGCCGCGGCAAGAGAGAGGAGGTGGTGGCGATGTTGGTGGTGGTGGTGGTGTTGGTGGCATCGTCCACGGTGTCTCGAGCCGCGGCAAGAGAGATGAGGTGGTGGACACGAGGGAGGGCCGCGTGGAGAAGGCTCCGCAAGGAGAGCGGAACACCCCTAACGCTGAGTGGGACAAACGCGTGGAAGAAGAAGAAAGACCGGCATCGTCAGGGTCGGGGTCGAACCCATAAGTTTCCTGTGTTACCGAGCGAGGTAGTTGACATCTCCTAGCCGCCGTGGAGAAAGGCGAGTGTCGTTTTGTGACAGGCAACTCCCACACCACCATCATCAACCTTTATGGCGCCTTGAGTTTTAGCGCCAAATCGAGAAGTTGTACAGCCCCTGCATACAATACGTAGATGTAAGTTCTTATACCACGGCTCATTGTTTATGGAATGACCCGGGTGGGTACTTTCAAAGAAAGCTTTTTATAAAGTGGCGGATCACCTGGAATGATCGGTCCACTGCTGGATGAAGGCGCACTCCCCACGCTGTCCACTGTCTCTCAGGTGTGCAAACATCCTGGTCCCTAACTTCGACAAACGAGTTGATTTAATTGCTCAATCGCGTCTGTTAACGTGGTCCCATTCCTATGAATGCGTTCACGTTGCTGGTAGCGATATATTGTTTTAAATAAAGGTACTTTCTGGCAAATGTCCCCTTTAACAAACAACGAGCGTGGTGGTTGCGAACTCGCGTCGGTTAACGTAATAACGACGTGTTTGCTCGTGTGTTGAGACTATACTCTTCCATTGTTTGTGTATATAGTTAGTGTTGTGTGTTCGGTGTGTGTTCACATTGTGTTTCATGTGCAGAGGGCCGTGTGTTGTGTGTCTGATGGCGAGTTCCCTTGAGCGGTGGGTGGCGCAGCGGTTAGCGCACCAATACCAGGGGGTAGTACACAAGATTTTGGATATATCTCGTGCCACCCCAAGTTCGGACTCGGCCTTAAATGATTACCCGGTGTGTAAAACATGGGGAGACAAAGGCGGCCGGGCGTGGTTCTGGCCACCCACCTGGCCTTCATAGGTGTGCTCGTTCCAAGCGCTTTCCCCAACAGTCTGTATATGTGAGATGGTTGCCCTTGTACGAACACGGGGATTCTACACTGCTCGAGGCATTCTGGAGCGACTTGCTTCGTGTTGACAGACCAAAGTATATCATACAATTGTGCCGCCTCAGTTGTGATGAATTCCAATCGCTTATGCAATTGGATAGCCAAGGCAAACGATGCCGTGCTAATTTGTTTCTGCGATTCTACAATCGTGTCCTCACTTAAAAGTCTTGGCGTGCGCTCGGTGTTAAAGACTTTTAAGGCACTATGGGAACCTCATTTGCCAGTAAAAATATGATAATTGGTTTTTTTACCCTTCTATCTGGCAACAAAACTGACACTTTTTTTACAAGGAGTCATGTTTGCAAGGACAGTGCACATTATCAGAGTTATGTCTTTTGTTTGTATTATGACTGCAGGTATTGCGGTCTATGCAAACATGACTCCTTGTAAAAAGGTGTCAGTTTTGTTGCCAGATAGAAGGGTAAAAAAACAAATTATCACTTTTAAGGCAATCGAGTTGCGGGGGGGGGGGTATCTTTTTTTTTACGGATTCGCTTCTCGTTTCTACAAAAAAAACAACTCGACTCTTACAAAAACACTTCCACCGCGGACATTTTAACCGCCCCGTAGTTCCTTGAAGAAGAATTCGGGCAACTCAAGTGAACGAGCCAATGTTGAGCTAACAACGTTGGCTCAACCTTGGCTCGTGGTTGGTTACCGTTCGGTCAACGTTGCCGCAACGTTCCATGTTTACTAGGCCACACAACCAAAGTCCCAAGACAAAGGTGCCCCGTAGAACCTTTTTAAACTGTTAGGGACAAGTGCTGTTAGCGAGCCACCTATAAAGGTTGGGACGACACACGAGGGGGGGGGGAAGGGTGGTGGGTGGCCAGCACCACGCCCGACCCCCTTTGTCTCCCCAGTGGCGATGTTTACACACCGCACCAGGTACTGATTTGAGGCTTGAGTCGACCTCGGGGAGGCCCAGGATCGGTTCAGATAATCGTCACTGATGTTGGTGGCCGTGAGCGGGAATCGAACTTGGGTGGCCTGGTTCGTAGTGCAGTGCGCTAACCAGCTACACTGCCGCAACCCAAGCGCACAATCCCCGCCACGAGATGGTGGTAACGTCACCAAAGGGCTTGTGCCAGGCTAGGTGCACGTGTCAAAAGGCTCGCTGCTTACAGGAGGTCACGGTACAGAATCGAGTGTTATGGGTTGACTGAGGTGCCAGGCTAGGTGAAGGTCACGGGGCAGACCCAGGTGTTATGGCTAGATTGGAAACTCTTTTCGTTAGAACTGCTTTTTGTGTCTAGATTGTTGTCCTTCCTCCGCACCTCGAATTAGCACGGTTGGCTACATACGGTGCGAAAGAAGGTCAACATACATACAGTACATTGTCTGACATGACCGGCAGATGCACCACCTGTGCTCCGTGCTGCACAAACTGGCAATCACACACACAGAAAATGTTTACGACATAACCCATCATAAAGCATTGTGCTTTATAAAAGGTTCGCGAATACTTTTGAAAAACCGGTACGTGATAAAAAATAATAAAAATAAAAGCTCACAGGGTAGCGTAGTACATCAACAGTCAGCAGCCTTGCCACGTGTCGGGTCGGTCTGCCCATACCGGGCACTTCTCAAACACAACTGGTCGAAGGGCCACTTCTCGGCTTCCCGTTGCCATGTCGAGTTGCGCATCCTGCCCCTGCACCACCGTGGTTTCTGCCCGGCAGCAGATGGGTGAACAAGCGGCAGTGTACATGGGTCGTATTGCGAGGAGTGGAGGCCAAATAGTTAGCGCGGCGCATTACGGACTCCGGACCACCCGAGTTCGATTCCCGCTCACGGCCACCAGCATCGGGGACAAATATCTGAACCGGTCCTGGGCCCCTCCTCCTACATCGCCGTCTCTCTGGCCAAGCGTGTCCCCACACGCCCACCCAGCCTCCACCACCACCCGTCAGCGCCGCCGCTACTGCTCACATCGCCTAATTCCCTACAGAGAGGGGAGGGGTATATTTATTATTTGCCGGGGGCGTTTGTGGCTACGCACGTGGCTGCCCGTAACCCAGCGCCGTACGTGGAGGCAGCTGCGAGGGTTGGTGAACCACCACGCTGTCATTGCGAAACTCCCTGTCGGTGTCGAGGAAGAGCCATTCGCCTGGCTTTGCTCGCCAAGAGAAAGCGGCACCGCAAAAAAGTGTGGACTGCACGTGTTCCGTCTGAATGGGATAGAAGTTTTCCCCGTCGCGTGCGTGGGTTTGCTCCCACACGTAAACACGTATTAATTGACCTGTGACAACTTTATATATATTGGACCGCAGAGCTTGGGCACTTGTTGGTTTCCAGCTCACGGGCGTGGCTGCCGCCTTCCCGCTCGTCCTCCGCGTCGTTTCCTCTCTTCGAGAGCGAGTGAACGCTGGGCGCCGTTAAGAGTTGAAGTTATTGCAACAACTTGGCCTACTTCTCCACACGGGCCAGACGTGGGAGTTGCCACACTTTGTACCCCACCACACGCGACCAGCCGATGGACTAACTGTGGTGCAGCTGGATCGACACGGGCACGGCAGGTTGAGAAATGTGCACCTTTGTTCCACCTACCACGCCGGGTGTAATGGGGTCGGTGTGCTGACCCATGGCCACCACCAGGGCACGAGCCATTGTGGCTGTAGCTGCGTTAACACAGAACCCCTCCCCGGGTTCTGTGTCCAGTTACATCGAGTCGACCTCACCTGTCTAACTCGGGGAGGAGGCGGGGTGTCAATGTGTATTTGTTTTCCTTAAAAGGGGGGAGGGAATGCATTGTTTGTCGTGAACACTGCATTTGGCCAATTTATAGGCTGTAGCAAATCAAACCATGAAAGTATTTGGTATTCGTGCCATTCTTACAGTGGTAAGGCTATCGCTTAAGGCGCTGGCAGTAGTTGAGCAGTAAGGGGGGTGTTTTTTTCCCAACTGGGGTAATTTGCGAGCAATTTGGACCGCAATGCCGGCACCAGCGAAGTATCCAACAGCCCCCATGGATGGGCACGGGGTAGGGGGAGGCCTTCAAAGATACCGCAGGTTATAACATTGTATTACCCCCTATCCACACACACCCGCCAACCTAATCGACCTGCGATCGTATCCATGAAAACTCCTTGTAAGATGGTACAGCACCATACGGTACAGCACTCCTGAGATGTACGGTTGTGTGCACATTACTGGTGGTGAGAGGCATTATAACAGCCCTTTACTCGGCAAAATAAACATCCAACATATCACCAAAATAATTCCCTTTTAATGAATGAGTCATTTTCCGAGGCTTCGTTCCGGCAGAGTCTAATTAGACTCCTCGAAGCTTCAGTCGCGCAAGTCGCCACAGGTCGCCGCCGATGTCGTGGTAGAAAACAAAACAAAAAAAACCCGCGGTGTAACCCCCTGCGGGAGGACGCACCTCGCTGGCAAGATGGTTACAGTTGCCGGGCCAGTAGCCAGATGAGCAGGTTTGTAATGTATGTTTGTGTATGTTGAACTTCCTTCGCACTGTACGTAACCAACCGTGCTAATCGGAGATGGCCCTACCTTTGAGCCGAGGTTTGGTGTATAGTACGCACTTAATTTAAATTGTGTTACCCTGCGTTACAGCGTCAAGGGACATCTGTCGGAAGAGTTGTCGTTGATAAAAACATTTTTAAGGAAATAAAAGCTGGAAAAGGTAACGCTGAAGCGTCGTGGGTTGTGAGATGGAATAGATGGGGAATAGTGTCGAGGCAGCAACGGAACAGCGTGTGGATGGATGTTGGAGATGTCATTTTGACTGAAGAAAAGTAAGTCGGCTTGAGCAGGGCACGTCGCTAGAATTCGCTGACGGACGGAGGCCAAGACGAATGACGAAGTGGCAAGTCAAAAGGAGGAGGGCACAGACCCGAGAGGTCGTCCACAAGTAGAGATGGAGCGATGAAAGCGGCATGTGCCCCGATGCTCGGGCGGGAGTGTTCCATTATCGCAGGACAATGAGAGTTGGCGATTGCTCGGGACGGCCTTCAACCAGCAGTGGATTTATCATGGCAGATGATGATGTCATATGCCACAGAGAGTAGCTGTGCTGTGAAAAGTAGAATCGTCCAGTATGGCACTAATGCTGTCCTCTGTGCTATCCCTGAGCCTGCGGTGGATGTTCCACAACACACCTTCTATTGATAGCTTCGGTAATACATCTTTTGTACCAGATATTAATTTCTGTATTTTATGTACCGTGCCAAATCTGACTCGGATGTTTTGTTTTTGCAAACATCTGGCTAGTTTAATCAGTTACTCTCTTTATTACTTGGGCAGTTTCAATGCTCGTGTTATTTGATTTGGTTTTGGCATTCAGTGCCCTGTTGATTTGTGCATCATTGTAACCGTTCCTTTGCAGCGCTTCTTTAAAATGTTGAATTTCACTTCTCAGACTGTCAACATCCGACACGTTCTTAGTTCGATGAATGAGCGTCTTGATAAGAGCAGATTTCTGTAGCGGGGTAATGGTGTGACTGCGTTCAGATAGGCGTCAGTATACGTTTTCTTTCGGTAAACAGTGTGTGTTATTTTACCATTTATATATTTACGCGTTCTAACCCAAAAAACCCTTATGGATGATATTGGTCGCGAAAGCCTATGTTTGGAAATGTTTTATAGTCCTGACCGATTGTTTATCGAATAGCAAAATCCAATCATTACATTTGTGAATAACTTAATTCTAATAATGCTTTATAAATTTTAGCGGCGTGACTGACAGCACAGCAATCACGACCTCATCTTTTTTGTAGTTTCATTAATTTTTATTAAATTGGAAAATCGTCATCTAATGAAAATTGATCTCATCAATTGCCACCCTGATCCACATCCAAGTTCATTTACTTCTTCCATGATCTGCCCATCGCCTTTTGGGTCTTCCTCGTGATCTCTGTGCAGGTGTACATCCTTGTATTATACACAATCTCCATGTAATTTCTAGTCATCATACGCATTCCCAGACATTAATTTTCCACTGCCCGAGAGTGGCTTCTCGCTCCCATTTTCCCCGTTCGGTCATCTGCCCCTTGACAGCCGTTCGTACTTTGTAGTCATTCCGTCCCCGTTGAAATCTCCCAATCTTGTCGTGAAGAATTAAATTTGTGACGACGCTCGTTCTAACTCTGACCGCTCCCTGGGTGCCACGCAGTTCCTCCGGGCACGTTTGGCTCGGGCGGGTTGACGGTGACCATGCCCACTCTCGATTTGGAGGCGGCACGGGATGGAGAGATCACCCTGCCCTGCACCTACACCAGCACGGTGCCAGACCGCACCAACTTGTACATCTCGTGGGCCAAGGAAGAGGACAAGAGCGACAAAATGGTGAGTGGGGGCACCGCGACGGTGAGATGTTAACTCCCTTGCCTGGTATGCAGGATGTCATGGGTTCAATCCCGACCCTGACGCCTGTATATTTGGAGTTTGCGCGTCCGTGGTCGGACGTATTTATCTCTGGGTCCTCCGGTTTTTCCCTCCATTTAGAGTCAACATGTATGTGGAGTATTTGACTGTTATACATTTCCACATGATAAGCCTCTCAATTGAGCTATCTTTGGTGACCAGGTCGCTTCTTAAAAAAAAGATATCTCTACATATATAAAAGGGAAATTTGTGATTGTGTGTCTGTTCAAAATGTTTAGCGTACTTCCCGACATGCAACAAACTTGAGATTTGTCATGTGGGTACTTTCCAGACTGTACACCATGCAAAAATTATAAAAATACACTTTTTTTTTTTTCGGGGGGGGGAGCAATAATGCATATATTTTGCACAGCAAGTGTTCTGTGACGTCACATCTGTCATGTGACCCATGTGCGTAACGAAGTGTGCCTGCTGATCGCTGGTAAAGTGAAATACAAATGTGTTGCAGGTCTAAGGCATTCTTCGCGCAGCATTGCTTTATTATTTCAGCCGTTTACTGCCGTACGCACCCTGAAAGTTGTGTGTGTCTGCTGCAAGCGCGTGTGTGTGTACCTATGGAACATATGGCCCATGTGCAGGTGATCGTGTACTTGGGGAAGCAGACGTCCGTGTCGGACGAATACTTCGTTGGTCGCGTGTCGTTCGCCGGAGACTACCTCGTAAACAACGCGGGCATCAAGATCACGAAGCTGCGGAATGAGGACAATGGCATATACAAGTGCAGTGTCACCAACATGCCAGGCACAGACAACGGGCACATCAAGCTCATTGTCCTGGGTGAGCACGTTGGCACGACACTGTGCCATGCAAACAAGCGCACGCACGTACATACGAACATACATGTGCACACGGCGAAGATGGATTCTCTTTCGAGCCATCTCACCGTGATCCTGTCGGTCGTGGGTTTTCAAGTTGATTTTGATGAACCCAGACTAGAGCTCGAGAGATCAGGTTAGCGTCTCGTTTGCGAGAGTGACCTGGGGCGTTAGTCCCATCAGGATGGGGTGTTGATCGCCGCTTTGTTTTTAACTGTAGTTGCGTAATTTGTGGGTCATTTCGAATTTTGCAAGTTTTGATGGTTACGTTTGTTAGTAGGCACGTGACGATTTCACTCTCCGCTGAATTAATTAACACACTTCACAATTGTGATTTTATTCTGGAATCTGGAATTTTTTTTGTCTCGTGTTTTTTCCATTTCGTTTGTATTGTTCGTTTTTTTCCCCTCATTTTTGGTCCCGCCAGTATCATAAACATAACAGCATATAAAATGCACATGTTATGATCGGCAAATATTAAATCGCGGTGAGTGGGTGGCTCGAATGTCAAAACAGCATGGAGCCGGCACCGCTGAATTCCTGGGTTTGAATCCAGGCCTGGGTGAGCACGTTGGCACGACACTGTGCCATGCTCTCAAATCGCGTTAAATGTAATTTTTCATTTTCGAATTATGACTTTAAAAATGTGGGATTGATTGTCATAGTGACAGAGCGGGTCTAAAAATGCTACCCCTTGCGGTGGACCAGAGGTCACTTACAGGGATCTCAGAAGCTTTGTTGTCCACTTCTGTGAGCCTTGCTGTAATACAGAGTCAATAAACCGGTGCATCGTTCCACACTTATTTTATCAAGCGGCGAAATTGGCGAATGCAACAACGGCTCATCTGCTGTCCACTCCCACTCCCCTCCCGTTTTCTCTGGTCTCCGTGCCGCGAACCCGCAACCACAACTGCTCGTGGCCCCCACCACCGCCACCGCCGGGCAGTGGCTCCAACCAAGCCGGTTTTCTCTTTGGAGGGAAAAGCCGAGATCTACCACGACGTGAAGCTCGTGTGCCGTTGCGACGAGGGTTCTCCGCCACCGACGTTTTCCTGGCGGCGCTTGGACGCCAACGGCATTCCCGTTGCGTTGCCAGTCGGCTCCGTGGACGGTAAGTGGGCGCGTGGTCGGGGTGAACCGGCAGCAGTCGGGGACGCGCACGCGTACCCACGCGCGCTGTGAGCGCCCATTTACAATGGGAGCAGAGACGTCGACTCGTTTGTGAAGTTAGGTTATCGGCTTACTTGCCGACACATTTGCGGTCACACGGGCACACTGAGCCGAGTTGCTAAGCCTTCGACGAGTGAGGAGCAATATAGTTTTTTTCAATGTTTTAATTTTGTTTATCTAGGAAAGCCTCACTGGGCCCGAAGACTGTCTTCACACGGTTCTTGCGTTGGGACGTTTTTGCCAGTTCTGTTAATGAGGGTAAATTACTTGGATTGATACTGCAGAGCACGTGGGAGGAAACCGGAGAAAAAAAACCCACACAGGCAAGAAGAGTAACACTGAGCTCTGCACAGATGAATTCAATACTCTTTGGATCTTTCGGTAAAGTCACGTAGGTATAAAATAAAATAAATCACGACGTTTCGGGCGCAACACAAGCGTCCGTCATCAGGTGGGAAAGCGGCTTTCCCTACGTGACTTTACCGAAAGAACCAAAGAGTGGATTCCTGCAGTCACGAAAGCTTCAAATCTAGATGAATTCAATACTTTATTGCTATAGTACCATCTCCTGTCCAACTCTGCAACCCAAGCCTGCAACGCCTGGTCATTCCCAGGCAGCATCCAAGTGCTAACCAGGCTCAACCCACTGCTTTGCTTCTGAGATACAATCGGAGCACGTCTGTCCGGCCTGATTTGGTCTTTGGCAAAGGGAAGATGCAACCCAACAAACGCAGCTCTTCTTAGGAGCATATAACTACAGTACGACATAAAGCTTTCGTGACTGCAGGGATTCATCTTCTGGGTTCTTTCGGTAAAGTCACGTAGAAGAGAAATAATAAAATAATACAAATATAAAACAATAAAATTATCACGACGTTTCGGCCACAACACAAGCAGCCGTCCTCAGGTGAAGAACAGAGATGTTTTTTTTCCGACAGCTCTGTTCTTCACCTGAGGGACGGCTGCTTGTGTTGTGGCCGAAACGTCGTGAAAATTTTATTTTATTATGTTTTATTATTTCCCTTCTACGTGACTTTACCGAAAGAACCAAGAAGATACAGTACAACAATAACTGCCCTCTACTGTGCAGCTTGCCGTAGCTGCAGCAGCAGTCTATGGCACCTGTTCTTAGCGCGGTGGTCGCCCATGGGAGCTCTGTACAGGCTCAGGACTGCTTAGCTTCTGAGAGTGAATGAATTTGGGGTGCATTCCGGGCGATTTGGCCATAAGCATTGGAGCTAATTGTTACTCAATCACATTCTTTGGCCGCTGAAACAGACAGACCCAGTGCATTGCACACACGCCTTAGACGCAAAACGGAAGCTGACCACTTTCTGATAGCAGGGCGCAAAGTCCACACTTGTTCATGAGTAACAGTTTGTTCGTTATATTAAATAAACAAATATAGTATACAGCCGCATGACAATCATTAACATCAGTGCACTAAATCCGTTCTGACACCCAATCGGTGTCACGGTAAATTAAGCCAGGCGGTTACTCGATTGGAATGCACATTGCAAACATCACCCCCTAACTTCGAATATAACACAACCCTGGCAGGACCCTCCTGATAAATGGTCATGAGGCTCCGTGAGGCTCTCCTGGGCAAACTAGCGTGGTAATAAAATAATAATTATTATTCTTCAACGGTAAAAGCCCCATGATGTACCACGGCTCGTTACACCGCGGATTCGGATACACTGGGAGTCGAGTCGCGTCCCCCCAAGAAGCAAATAATGTCCACGGGTGGGTGAGAGCAGAAGAGAGACGTAGTCAGATAGTTTGTTGACTACGTAGAGCCAGTGGTGTGTTTGCTGTGGCCCTTCCAGAGATCCTATATTGTACAAGTGAATACACATTAAGAATTGATTTACATATAACGATTGCAAGTCGGTCATCTGTGTGCATCGGTCGTCTTTTCCTTTAGTCTGTGACTGACCAACTGTCTCCTGTAAGATCAATAACCTCGCCTCTTCCCCAGGATACCCGTGTCTCACTGCCTCTGTACAGCGCAAGTTTAATACGAAGTACTCTTCTTTCGGTAAAGTCACGTGACTTTACCGAAAGAACCAAAGAAAGAGTATGGATTCCTGCAGTCATGAAAGCTTCAAATCAAGATTTAATACGCAGTTTCAATTAGATGCCAATTATATCCGTAGGTCTTCACGACCAACAATATGATTAATTATCAGTTTAAATTGGGTCAGATCATCATGTAGGTATGATGTAACCTTTTTTATCGATAACCCTCCACCACTTGATCGACCCAATCAAATCACCCACGTGACAACTTGATTTAATTGGAGGGTTATCGTAAAAAATGACTTCATACCGACACAACGATCGAACCCAATTATGAATGACAATCGGATGTTACATATGGCATCATTCCACCCCCCGACTGATCATCAGCTGTGATCCGATTTTAAATCTCCTCCACGGCGGATGTGCTGATATATGTGCGTTGAACTTCTTTCGCACCGTACGTAGCCAACCGTGCTCCCTATTTTGGGCACTATCATGCCACCGTTTTCGTCACAAACACCACCCCAACTAAAACCCAGAAATCCCCCTCTCGCTGCAAATGCCACATTAACTAAACTATAAACTATATTTATTTTAGCAGGTGTAAGGCCCACCGAGCTATGTAGCTCTTTATTAGAAGCGACCTGCCGACAAACGATAGCTCAACGAAGTGGCTCGTCATGTGGAAATTTATAGCAGCATCATTCTCTAAATGTGGTGGGAAAAAACATAGAACCCAGAGAAAAATCTACACGACCACGGGGAGAACATGCAAACTCCAAATATACAGGCATCAGGGTTGGGATCGAACCCACAACCTCCTGCATACCATGCGAGGTAGTAAACATTTTTCCACGGTGGCTCCCAAGTTGAGTTAAGCACAGCTGATTTTTTAAAGCATTTCACGTCTCGTCGCGGCAGTTGAACGATGCCGACGTAATGGGCATGAAAACACTCGTCCGCAAACAGACGATGTGACCAGGGCCGCCCCCCCCCTCCCCCTCAGTCCGTTTTACCCCGAATGTTGTGCTACGCTCGCTCGGATTACTCGCGTCGTTGTCGCGACACACGACCCCCCCTCTCCCGCTCTGGTTTCCAGGCTCCGCAGCGCTGCGGGGTTAAGTTGCGCTGCCGTCACGGCGCTCGCGTTACGTGAAAGCGTTAAAAAAGTAAAATTCCTCATCTCGATGGCATCGTGTTAATTAGTGATGTAAGGACGCCATCTGCCGATCAATTTACAATCGCTTAACCTGCTCACGGCACGCGTTTCGAATCACTCGTGCGTCGATTAATTATTTATGATAGAAGGTAATCGTGCTAATGTTACATCAAGGCTAAGAGAGCAAACAAAACTGGACAAGCGAGAACGGCGTTAATTATTCTGCAGCACCGTTCCTGTCTCGTGCTCCGTTTAAACGATGTTGTCCTCGCTAAAGTGTTTACGTTCATACCATTTAATGTTTAGAAAGTGAACCTCGCTAACTCGTTACTGGGAGAGTGCTGCGCAAGGATGTTTTGGCCTATTTCATCTTAAATCGGAGGGATTTGTATCATGAAATAAAAAACGGGAGTACCCCACATTGGTGGAATGACAAACAGTGGTCCGCGTAGACCAGTCCTTGCCTCAAAAGCGCTGGATCACAGTTGCGTGACAACGTTTCGTTTTTTATTTATTTGTATATTTGTATCCCCCCAGTTTTCACACGGCCTATCCGTGCGACCCGCTGAGGCGGATATCGCACCGCTACATCCCCGATATCCCTTGGAGCGACATCCGTTTTTCGTACGGCACAGGGCAGCGGTTGACGCTTATTGCCGTTCCTCCTCCGGCGCTGACCTCTCCACGCCCCCTCGTGTGCGCCCAGACCCCGCCGCCGGAACGCTGCTGCTGAAGAACCTCACGCTGCAGTCGAGCGGCACCTATGAGTGCACGGCGAACAACAAGGTCGGCAGGGTGGTGACCAACGGCACGCTCTCCGTCACCTACCGTGAGCCCCGCGCCGCCAGCACCGAGCATCCTTTCGGAGCGTAGCAGTACGGTACAACATTCGCCGTCGCTGCGCTGCCCCCTCTGCCTCGCCGCAGCGCCGCTAGTGGCTTGACGGTGCCTGTCTTGAAGCGTGTGGGCGCCAGGTTCGTGGCGTGCGCGCCGTCCGCCGTGACCGCCGCTGCCGCCACGTGGGCGTGAATGCGTGCGTCCGCGTGTTTACCCCCCTCCCCTCCCCTTAACCGAACGCAGCCCAGAGCAACGCGATGATGTACGGAATCATAATCGGGGCCGGGCTTTTGGGGTTCCTGATGTTGACCGGCATCATCATCTACTGCGTGCGGAGGAGGAACCGCAAGCGGCGGGAGGAGGAAGGCTACTACAGCGACGGGGAGTATGAGATGGAGTGAGTACGCGCAAGCGCCCGCCCGCCGCACCGCCGGCGGCCGCTCGATTAACGCGGCGGCCGGTAACTTCCCCCCCATCGATTACCATAACGAGTCCAGACAACAGCAGCCCGTCGAGGTTCAGTCGCCACCACGTCACTCGTCTATCGCTAGAGCTGTAGTCGCCGTTCCCCTGAACTCTACTCATTGGTTCCTCAAGTCATGCCGAGGACTCGGGTCTACCAGACACTGACCGTTTTGTCTCATCATCTAATCCACACGGTATTCAACCACCAACACTGCAGATCACAACAACTCACTCGCCCACTCACTCCCCACGCTGCAGGTCACAGTACTGCTCTTTCTGCTTCTTCCCTTGCACTGCTCGCCTTTGTAATTCCTTCCAATCTCAAATCAATTCAACTTTGTAAGTAAACGGAACATTAAATCGATACAATGGTAAGTAACACAAAACTATAAGAATTGTACAGATTAGTTCAAAGTATATAAAATCGATTTAAAACATACATCTTCACCCCATGGGAGTCTTTTTGTCCAGAGCGAGGAAACCGCTCTATTTGACTCCCGGCTGTTAACGTGCCAACGCACTCCACCACCAACGCACTCCACCACCAACGCACTCCACCAACCCACTCCACCAACGCGCTCCACCAACGCACTCCGCCACCAACGCACTCCACCAACGCGCTCCGCTCTCTCCGCACCAGGGGAGAGGAGGATCGCGATGAGAAGCGCGACCGTGGCCACGCCGCCGACCGCGACGTCCCGCGAGAGAAGTACCTGGCCGTGTCGCGCGCCACCAAGGACGACGAGCGCAGCGAAAGGGGCGGCGCTCGGCGCTACCGGAACGGCGACGACGACTACTCGGACAGCGAGTCGCGGCGCGGCAACGGGGACACGGGCCAGCGCAGGTGACGCACGCACGGGGGAGGGGGGGGGGGGATGCCTTCCGGGACGAGTACGAGCAATTATCGCTTCGATCTTGATTCGAAGCTTTCGTGACTGCAGGAATCCATACTCTAAGTTACGTAGTGATGTTTCCAACCTACCTGCCTACGTCAGGTGTTATTTGCGACCCTCTGTGTGTCTTTCTCTCGCTCCCTCTGTGCATCTCTCTCCGATCTCTCTACTCCAGTGACCCGGATGCTGCCGCGGGGTCCACTTTCTTCTGCCCCGCCTCCTTCCCTCCCTTCTCTCTCCCCCTACTGCCGAGGCCTATGTATAACCTCGTGCCACGGCAGATCTCTCGCCTACTACAGCAGTTTTTTCTTGCTGTGGTTGTCCCACCTGATGACGATTGCTTGTGTTGCGATCTAAACGTCGTGATCTATTATTATTTTTCTACCTACGTGACTTTACCGAAAGAACCAAAGAGTATAGTTATTGCCTTGTTAGTTCTCCCCCCCCCCCCTCCATCGCCCCTCACAACTGTAAATTGCATTTTTGTTATGTTTGAAATGTTAATGCGCTAACTTTGTCCGTCATGTCTACCCGTCATGTTGAGTCATGAGAATTATCATGGGGATGATCAAATTGAAATGAAAATGTAGTCTAAAGTTGCGTTAAAATTGGGCAATTACCCTACAGAATACCGAACAATATTTATTTGAGGTTTAGCCAAGACCTGGCGATTGTGGCGGTGAGATCTTTTTCGGGCCAAGATGCTGAGGTCCACCAGCCATGCGCGATCGCTTACCCAATCACATTATTGCAAATAATAAATATTGTATTTTTGAGGACAAATGGATTTTAGAAGGCGATATGGCGTGAACTTTCAATGCAAATGGTTGCTTAAAAGTTGCGTAACTGCAATTCAATGGGCGGACGCCTGCCCCGAGTGGCGTTGTACAAACCGCCACGCCGTCAATTACGGGTCTCGTATTACAAAGCGCTAAATTAACGCGTAATCTCTCTTTAATTCACTTTTGAAGTTCAATCATAGTCGTGACCTTTTTTTTGTTATTCCATCAATGTTCTGTTGGGAAATAAAATAATAAAGGCTGAAATGAGCAACAACGATCGTGACGTAACAAACCTCCTGCCACTGTCCGTCTCCAGGAACCGGCGATACTCGGACGACTCTGACGACGAAAGCCGCGGGCGCCAGTCCCGGCAACGGCGCGACCGGGACGGAGGGGACTACGACCGCGATCGTCCGCACTCCCGCAGCCGCGACCGGGGTTTGGACGACGATCGCGATCGCCCGCATTACCGCAGTCGCGACCGGGGTCTGGACGACGATCGCGATCGCCCGCAATACCGCAGTCGCGACCGGGGTCTGGACGACGACCGCGATCGCCCGCACTCCCGAAGCCGCGACCGGGGTCTGGACGACGACCGCGATCGCCCGCACTACCGCAGTCGCGACCGGGGTCTGGACGACGATCGCCCGCGCAGCCGCAGCCGCGACCTGGATTACGACGATCGCGATCGCCCGTACTCCAGGAGCCGCGACCGTGGCCTGGATCGCGACGACGGGGAGGGCGGCGAGTACCGCGGGGGCGGGGGCGGGGGCGGGGGCGGGGAGCAATGGCGTGACAACGGCAACGGCGGCGGCTACGACGACTCGCACTCGGAGACGGCGTCGTCGGTGGCGCGCGACACCAGGCCCAGGCCGCCACCCAACAAACCCAAAATCATCCTCGGCAACGCCGACGCGACGGCCGACGTGTGACCCGAGGGTCGCGTGCGACACGCCGGCCCTGGCCCACGCCGCCCGCACGTCTACGCAGCGCACCCGCACCACCTGCAAGACCGGCAACACCTGCGCCACACCCGCACCACCCGCACCACCCGCCACACCTGCCACACCTCTGCCACCATACCACCGCCCACACCACCTGCACACGAGCCCGAAGCGGTTGCGCTGTACAGCGTTCCGATGCGGTTCCAGCTTGTTCGGCTCGACGCGTGTCTGGATTTCACTTTGCGCCACGTTGCTGGGAACTTCTTTCGGGAGTGGAATTGGATGAAGTTCCTGGCACGTGGAGCGGAAACGCCGGACAACGCACGGTTCTTGTCCACATGCCCTGCCGGCCACCTGAGGCCTACCGCTTTGAAATTATGTTCTTCCGTCGCCACAAACACCTTCGCTCGTACAATCATTACTCGCCCGGCCGTCATCCAGCAGTGAAGTGACCATGGCTGGTGATGATGCATGCTTCTTGGCCACACTAATCAGGTGCTCGAGGGGTATATTTTTGAGCTGGCCACACTAGGTCTCTAATTTTAGCATGCACTCCTGGCACTTCAAGGGTCTCCTGCAGTGGATGAAGTGTGACCGCGTGCGCGCGTGTGTGTGTGTCAACACGTGGTTGCCTGCTTAAGATTTTTTAATATCCGTTTCGGTCCTAGGTAAATAAAATGTTCCTCACCCCTTTTCTACAGCGTATACGACGTTTGTATGCATCGCCTACACCATACACGCCCTTCACACCGCATACAACTAGCCTGTCCACATAATCTGCACCATCTGCAGCTTATTTAAGATCGATATCGTTTGTATACTCTAAACAACATCTACACCCCATAGACTGTACACTATTAGTCCATAAACTGCACAGTCGGCAGCATCTACACAAACCGTATTCCACGTTCCACACTCCATCCACATGACCTACACCATGACACCACCTGCAATTCTCCATCGTATCCATCATCCACGCCACCACGTCCTTAACAGCAGTGGTGGCAAATGCACGCAGCGCTGTTATCCAGTTTGGTGGTTCTCAACTGGCTCTGCGATCCACCAGGACGGCTGTGACCCAACAATTTCCCGGATGGCTTTAACCCTGTAAAGTCCTGCAGACATTACATAACTAGCGCCATCTATTGCTTGGCGTTATTCGTTTTTTTATGATTTTTTAGTCGGTCATTTTTCATTTGCCTTCAGCTGTCTTGGGAAAGAAGGTAGGCTTACGTTAGTGTTTGTTCGAGATCCACGGTTGGATCGCCATCCACATCGTGGCCACTGTTTTACCATCCATTTTTCGTGGTTTTGGGGTTTCTTCGTCGACCAATTGCCCAATTTTGCGAGCCGGTTCCCTGCGTGTGGCCGTCGTGTTTGGTGATGTGATGACCAATCGCGGCTACGATTAAAACATTGCCTTGATTTAGGCGAGCATCCTCTTGCTGAAATGTCATGCAATTAAGGCGTTAAAGAGACCTTATATTTTATTATTTTCTTTGCGGTTATGCATTATTCGATGTTTTTGTCTGATTTTAAAGAGCAGGATTTGGTAGCGGTCGTTTGGGAAATTATTTGCAAAGTGGATGTCTGTATAATATTTTATACGTGTGCCATGGGTGTAAACATCGCCACTTGTGATACAAAGGCGGCCGGGCGTGGTGCTGGCCACCCCACCCCCATGTGCGCCGTACCGGCCTTCATAAGTGCTCGCTATCGGCACGTGCCTCCAAAAGTCTGTTAAAGCAACACGGGGAGGTCTGTGCGAAACTCGCGTATTGCTCGGACTTAATCAAATCCCATCTGACACCTCAGGTACATGACTCCAGTAGAGTTCAAATCTGCCGGCGTTCCTCGTGCTCACTTCCACCGAACGCAACGGCGCCATTTAAACCGCGTCACCACTCAGGCGCTGCGTGAATTGGCGCTCTTCAACCGAATCGTTTGCCTCCGTGCTCGCCGTCCCAACTCGCGTGGACGTTCCCGCCGGTGCGGTCCAGTGCTCCCCTCCGTGCCTGGTTCCGATTGTATCGTCACTTGTTTCTTTCGCGGTGCCACCGGCTGTAAATTTTTTCCTCTCGCGCGCTGGAAGTTTATGTTATTTTCACTCCCCGAGGTTCTGGCACACGGTGCGAAACGTTGGACATTGTGCAACCAAACGCACGTGGGTTATGACGCGTGGCTTTCCTGTCTCATTAGTATCGGTTTTTTTTCAAACGGCATATAGATAGCAATGTATTTTAATAATTAGTACATCGATTCTCAAACGCACGATTACAGAAGACGTAGCACGAGCGTAGGAAACGGATTTGATCTTGACTCGATACGCACACTCGGGCCTAGTGCCGTCTTAGATCCTAAAATCTAAGAAATAAGTGAGATTCATTTTTCAGTGCATTCGTCATATCGCGGTCTTAGTGGAATATTTGGCCATAGCTTTTGTAACTTTATAGCTCATTAAACTCGTTGAATAATAATCCGTATCCTCGTTTGTATATTCTAATCGTGTTTCTGTGCCGCGAGTTGATTTTTTTTTACTTTGTTGTAATCAATCACTCCTATCTGGCTGTAGAAGCCCTACGCAACTGTTTAGTGATAAGGATCTGAATTGTTTTGTTTAGAAAGTGGCTTTTACAAAGATGGGCTGGGGAGATTGTAGTGTGTCATGTGTGCAGTAGGGGTGGCAGTGTCGCGGTTAGCGCACTGCATGCAGGCGGGTGGGGGTCTTTACCTATTAAAGGTCTGCATTTCTAAAATGTTGTCCAGAATAATTGACGGCGCCATGGTCATATGGCGTCCTCGTTTCTATTGCGATGTTGAGTACGGAATTATTTATTGTGTAACAGTGCGCATGCGTTCTAAGCATTAAGACGAATTATCCAGTGATGCACAAGCACAGTTACCACGAGCTCACATTCGTCAACATTACGGCCTCAGAAGAGGAAAATTATAATTAGGTGACGTTTCAGGCCACGGCCCTTGTGTGATAGGCCAGAGGTGGAGTGGCAGCGGTTATTGAAATGTGCAGTTTTGTTATAAGCATTTGGGAGTTTGAAGTTATTGCGATTAAATGATGCACGTTGCATAAACTGTAGTCTAAAGAACCTTTTGAATTTCTTTATTCGGATTTGAAAACGGCACAAATAAAATTTAAATTCATTTACAATAAAATATCCAAATAATCGACATTGGGGGGAAAAGTAACACTGCATGGAGTGACATCGACTCGTGCCAACCCAGCCGCTGAAGCAGTCCACCTCGACCCTGCCAGCGGACCGCGTGAGAGCCACGCGGGCGATTGCTTGCGTGGCGATTGTCAATGGGCGCGGAGGGGATTCCGGTTAGCCTCGTCACGATGCCTGGGGGCTTCTCTTTCTGCTTTAGACATTTAACCTTGATTATCAACCGCTGGAAAAAGAAAAAGTAACACTTTGAATTGGGTGTCGATTAAAACATTTTCTGTGCCACCACGTGGGGACAATAACTTGGCACTCCTTGCACAGCAATCTTGCAAGTATAGAAGACATTACAGGCTTAATTCGCTCCCATAGCATAGAACGTTACCCTTTTTACCCAAACAACGTTCTTTATAATATATAACAATGGATATTAATACAGAAAGCTACTAACTACATTATAAGCACTATTAAAATAAACATGGTTAATCCATGCATTAATTAACATACAACAGCCCGTTGTTCATAGGGGAATGGTCGGTAAGCAAACACATTGGGCTCTGTGGAGGCCTGTCATTAAGCGATTAGTCGTTTACAGGGGTGGTCGTAAATAGGGGTTCTACTGTAGATTTTATTTTGGAGTTTTTAAAAGCATACAAAACTAACACTCATGAACAAAGTACAATCGTGTAGTTCACTGCAGAGGTTACTAAGGGCAGTGGGGGGGTGAGGTAGTCCACAACTGGGTTCCCAATTAAGTCTTGAGTCCACCTAGGGGTGGGCCCTGGTACGGCTTTGACTCAACCAGCAACTTGTGTTCAAGGCTTCAAGCGTGGGGAACGGAACAGGATGCTGGGATCCTGGTGCCCTGTACCAATCATGGTCCAAGATCTTTAACCATCGCAGCCAGGGTGGACGTTTGAAGGTTTAAAAATATAAATCCAATTCTTGTAAAAGTTCTGCAAAAGTGTGGCTTAGGATGCAATAAACTATTTTAAAAAAACTAAAGATTAATAGCAAAAGTCACACACTCGAGGAAGTGGGGCTTACGAAAGGTTTCATTACCATTGGTCAAGTCGTACGAGTGTGAAAAGGAGAAATTACTCGGCGCAAGTTCGAGTCCGGCTTCAAATTGGAAACCCAGGCACTTGTTCACGATCTTAAATTTGGAGCTTTCGTGACTGCAGGAATTATTCTTTGTTTCTTTCGGTTAAGTCACGTCTAAAGATAAAATAATAAATTAAAATAATAGCATATTACGACGTTTCGGAGGCAACACAAGTCTCCGTCATCAGGTGGGACAGTCACAGCTGATCTGGCTGTGACTGTCCCACCTGATGACGGAGACTTGTGTTGCCTCCGAAACGTCGTAATATGCTATTTTAATTGTTCACGAATTCATTCCTTCCCTCCTCCGTGGTGCTCCCCCGTTCACTCATATCCCCGGAGCGTATTTGCCATGGAAGCCGTAAGGGATGGCGACTCGAACCTCTGCCCGGGCCACTTCAGCGAAGGTGGCAGCGTCGAGGATCAGGAGGAAGGCGGGCAAGTCCTGAACACGGGACAGACCATCACCATCAATCACCACACTCGGCATTTTCTGATCATTCCCATGTAATTTCTCATTTGCGATGAGATTCCTAGTGCTATCGTTTTGTCATTTGCCATTCTCGTCGATACTGTGCGATGTCATGTACGAGTCTATGGCTTTTGTCAATCCACTGCTGGATGACAGCCCCTCCCCCCCCCCTCCCGTGCGAGTCCTGGCTATTTGCCGGCGCCGCCGCGAGTCGGTGAAGGCAGCAGGAAGCGCTGCCGCCCTCTCCTGCCCACGAAGAGGCGTCATTTACTCATCATCCACTTGCCCTTTTCACCTCCTCCACACCTTTATTCAGAGAACTCCTCTCCAGGCAAACTATTATTTTACCAGGTAGGGCCCACTGGTGTAGTAGGAATCCCGCACCGATTTAACATCAACACGATGAGATAGTTTTTTTTACACAGAATGACGTTAATCACGATATCAGCATCCCACAACCTCGTGTCTCTCCATGTCACCGTCTTGGCGTTTCGTCCACTCCGTTGCCCGAATTCGACAAGCAAATTAAGTCGATTCTTTGGCAGTTTGAACTCCTGCGGTTCACTTGCCACGCAGCTTGCCATGAGGTCTTCTCATCCTAAACTATATTTTACCAGGCAAAGCCCACTGAGCTATGTAGCTCTTTTTCAGAAGCGATCTGGCCACAAATGATAGCTCAACGAAGTGGCTTATCACGTGGAAATTTATAGCAGCAAAATACTCTAAACGCACGTTTCTAAAATTGGGAGGGAAAAACCGGAGGACCTGGAGAAGAATCCACGCAGCCCTGGGGTGAACATGCAATCTCCAAATATACAAGCGTCAGGGTCAGGATCGAACTCACGACCTCCTGGATACCCACGAGGTCATGAACACGCAACCTCCCAGAGGGCAGATGACACCACCGACCCCTTCGGGATCGCCTTCGAGAAGAATCTCCTCCGTCGTAGAAGCGGTGCGTTCACAGCCACGTGCAGGGAGACTGCTCTCCCCGTAGCAACACCACATTCCGCCGACAGAAAAACAAGGTTGTTTTTTTGCCTAAATGACCACAAGGTTTGTCGTGCGTTTTACTTTCTGAAGTGTCTTAGAATCCGGAGAATGCAATACTGCATCGCGCCGCGTTGTCCCGCCGTCGTGGCGCGATCCGGTGGGGGGGGGGGCACGGGGAGGGGGGGTCACGCACCGGGAGGGGCGAGACGACCACGGAGAGGAGCAGCCCCGAGTCCTCGTGCTCGGCGCCCGGGGACTCCACGAAGACCGGCTCGGACGGGAAGTATCCCGGCAGCCTCCACTCCTGCGGCGGCAGCAGCAGCGTTAGCGTCAACATCGGGCACGAGGGCAGCGATTCTCAACTTCTGTTCGAGACTCCCACTTTACTATAACATGTGAGCAGTGTTGCTCATTCTGTGTTGCTTAGCATCCAGGTGCTGGAGCCGGGGGTGACTGCCTGGCTCTGTGCGTCTGGGACCCGTTAAAGTACATTTCTTGAGCGTTAGGATGTTATCTCTCGCTTGCGTATTCTCCAATACAGGCGTTCCTCTTGCCATCTCTCAGCACGCTGCACTACGAACCCGGCAACCCGAGTTCGATTCCCAACCATGGCTGACATCAGTGGCTGGGTCGACTCCATAATAATGTTTTTTTTTTACTTTAACACCAAAAAACACAAACACACAATTGAGACATCACCCGGATTGCAGGTTGGTATTCTGTGGGGTGGGGGGGGGGGTCACACACACTCAGCCCAACAGCCTCGGGGCGGTCACTGATTGTGGCCTCGCCTGCGGTGGGTTCCGAGGCTCCTCGTGTCTGGGCTCCATCACCGAGGAACTCTGCCCCAGCGCGTCGCAGATTCCGCCCACAGCGGCTACTTTCATAGCAAGCCTCGAGGCCTTTTCCTACAATTGATCCTTCCGGTTGCATTTTGGCATCTTGGGATTATTTTACGGTCCCCATTCATTTCCCCTTCACCGCATTTTGATCATTGTGTATTCAAGGTGCTCTCACACCACTTGTCTTCGTGAAATGTTTCCTTTGAACCTCGCGTCGAGAGAGGCCTTCAAACACTCGGCAGAATGAAAAGGGCTCTCGGCGAATAACCGATCGGTGGTGCGCGTCATCGTTCAGGCCGCCCCCCCGTGCCTCACTTCTCCGCTGCTTCGAGGCCCCCCCCCCCCCCCCCCCCACCAAGCCCAACCCCAGCCGCATCCATCTCGGGATTTTGCATGGAATAATTTTTTCCTCCCCTCCCCCTTCTTGTTCTGTGGTCGGTGCAATGTACTGGGCCCACGTTGAGTTAGGGAGGGGGGGGACAAGTAGATACATAATTGAATAATAAAAATCTCCGGCCGAGGTTTGGCCTCGCTGCGGCTGCTCACCGCCGCGATCACCCTGGCCTCGACGTCCACCTTGAGCAGCGACTCGCCCACCAGGTGGCGGAAGCCGCAGCCGTAGGTGAAGCGGTAGCGGCGGCCGTTGTGCCGTGCATAGTTCACGGCGGGGAGCTCGAAGCCGCCCGTGCGGGACAGCTCCTCGTCACTCAGCAGCGCCTCAGGCTCCACCCACACCTGGGAGGGGGGGGGGGGGGCACGCGCACATCACACGCACAACACGCACACGCACACCACGTACACCACACGCACATGCAACACACCACACGCACGCACGCACATGTAACGTACGCACCACATGTAACGTACGCACACACGCCACACGCACAACACACGCACAACACGCACATGCAACGCACGCATACCACACGCGCCAGCCCTCCTTTCGTGCTGCTCGCTAACAGCGCTCGTCCCAACAGCCTGTTGTTTTATTTGTACGTTGAGCTTCTTTGTACTTAGAACTCATTTCGCGCCGTACGTAGCCGACCGTGCTAATCGAAGTTGCGAGGGAAGGACAAACAAACTAAACACAACATGCAGTTCTAACGAAACGAGTGAACTTCAATCTAGATTATGTAAAACGTACATAGCTCCAGTGGCTTCCAAATATCTCAAGCAAGAACATTCCAGACGGACACAAAAGCTCATCCGAAAGCGCTATGCACTTTTAAATCTAGATTGAAAACTAATTTTTTTAGAACTGTTCTTGTGTTTAGTTTACGTACGGTGCAAAAGAAGTTCAACATACACCACACAGCCCCTCGTTTCCTTTCAGCACGAGGCAATACCTTCATAGCGATCGTGTTCCACTACACACATCCACAATTGCGAACACAATGCACGAGTGTGTCACACACACACACACGTGTCACACACATACACACGTGTCACACACACACACGTGTCGCGCATGCACCTTGCTCTTGGTCTTCTTCGGGGTTCCTTCGGGTGTCGATGCCGCCTCTGGCAGGGGCAGCACCAGGCGCTGGAGACCGTAGCGTGGCCCGTTCTGGTAGATCTACACAGCCAGCAAACAGGCAAAGATCCCCCGTGTAACCTTGCCAGACCGTAGGGGCAAGTGCTGTGAAAGCAAGCACCACACCCGGCCGCCGCCGTCTCCCCAGTGACGATGTTTAGACACCGCCACGCCAGGTACCACTCATTTGAGTCAATTCATGGCAGAGCCCTGGACTGGTTCGGATGTCACTGGTGGTGGCCGTGAGCAGGAATCGAACCGGGGTCACCGGGTTTCCAGCACAGAGTGCTAACGACTGTGCCACTGCTCCCCACAAAGACAAAGATCCCCCGTGTAGCCTTACTAGACTGTTGGGACAAGTGCTGTTTTAGCAAGCAGCACCCAAGAAGGCCGGAACGACACCGAATAAAATAATCGTTATCACCGGTGTTGGCCGTGAGCGGGTATCGAACTCGGGTCGCCGGGTTCGTAGCGCAGCGCACTACCCGCCACACCGCCGCTCTCCCCCCCCCCACCGCACGCACACCGCCGCACGAGTCGTCGCTCACAATTTACAGAGGGGAGCAGGGAGGAGGAGGAAGCGGGGAGGGGAGAACCTTCCGCAGGGCGGCGCCCGTCTGCCGCATGTTCACGAGGTGGTAGGCGGAGTAGGCGCCGCTGCCCTCCTGCACGCACAAGTCCACCACGAGGCGCCGGGCCAGGCAGTGCCGCCCTTCCCCCGGCTCCTCCGTCTCCTCCTCCTCCTCGTACGCATTCACGTGGTGCAGGCACACCAAGGGACGGGTCCGAAACTCCACGGGCACGGGCTGGGCGGGTGGGCACATGCACAAAGACAACGATTCCACGTATAACCTTAACAGACTGTAGGGGCAAGTGCTATTAGCAAGCACCTATGAAGGACGGAACGGCACACGAGGGGGTGGGTAGCCAACACCACGCCCTGTCGCCTTTGTCTCCCTAGTGGCGATGTTTACACATCACACTACGTACTCATTTGAGGCCGAGTCGACCTAGGGGAGGCCCAGGACCGGTTCAGATAATCGTCACTGGTGTTGACCGTGAGCGGGAATCGAACCCGGGTTGCCAGATTCGCAGTGCGCTAACAGCTACAGAACCGCCATTCGCCACTAAGTGGCGGTGATGTCACCACGACGCTTGTGCCAGGCTATGTGCACCTTGAGGCCACGTGAAGTGTCGAACGCTCGCTGGCAGGAGGTCACGGAGCAGACCCAGGTGCCACGGGTCGACTGACTGAGACGACTGGCTGATGCACCACCTGTGCCCCCCCCCCCCTACTGTGCCAACTTTATCACTAAACCACGTCGAAAAAAATATATCCAACAGCTACATTACCGCACATGGACACACACACGCGCTAAGACAAAGACCCCCCACCCCCCGTATAGCCTCTAGCAGACTCTTGGGGCACGTGCTGTTAGCGGGTGCCGACAGTGCGCACTTCACTGACTAAGGTAGTGTACGAAGGACCGAGAGGGTGACGATGGATGATGGGGGGGGGGTGCATGGAGAGGGGGGGGGGGAGCTAATTAATTGCAGACGCCAAGGACAGGCACCTGCAAACACTGTGGTTCTTCATGTGGGTAAGGAGGTGGGTGGGTCCGATGGAGGTGGGTCCGATGGAGGGGGTGCGGGGAGGTGGAGGTGGAGGGGGGGGGACGTACCTGTCCCGTGTGCTTGTTGACCACGTGGATGCGCGTGCCGCGCCGTGGCTCGTACACCATTGCCTGCTCCACCGTGGCCTTGTGGCGGAACGGCAAGCTCATCAGCCTCACCAGGTCCATGCGCAGGGGCATCTCCAGGAACACAATGTAGTTCTCCGTCATGCCTGGCCACGCGCAAAAGGCAAAAGACGACCCGTGTAGCCTCCACGGTCTTTCAGAGAGCGCCTACGAAGGCCGACGTTTCGCCCCGCTCCTCTCGTCATCACCAACCGGCACCGACCGGCGTATCGAAGCAGCGCTCGTTACCGACAGTCTTCGCCATCGGCACGGCGCAGGGATCGAGGCCCTCATCCAGCAGTGGATTGACAACAGCAGAATGGCTTTGCGGATTGTGTCTCGAGGTACCGACCCCCAAGTGGGTCTCACCGAAGCTGTGGTAGTACGAGGGCTTGAGCCGTGACGAGGCCGGGATGGACGCCACGATAGTGGCCCCTTCCATCAACGCTGGCCGCCCGTCCGGCTGCCGGCCGCTCTTGCTGGCCGGGATGCGGATGATGTTGTAGCTGGGGCCTGCAAAGGGGACGAGTGGAGGGAAGCAAGAGCCGCAGTCGGAGGGTCTTACAATACGCGGCACCTTGTGGATTCACGCGGCATCTCAACGGGGAACCTCTCCCCCTCTCTCTCCCATGGTGTTGTAGAAAATTCAGTGGCCCATTGAGCCAAAGAACGACGCAGGGAGCCAAGCACTTAAATACTTGTTAATAACGTGCAAGTAATAATGATTGCTATGCCAATTTGAAACGGATCATCAAGATGGTGTAACCTGCAGTCTCCAACTCGCATCAACAACTCCACCTCTCCGGCCTCTTTCACGTGATGTGAAGCAGAGTCATTGCCTAAAAAGGTCACCTATTGTATACTTTTAAGGCCACTGTAATTAACGAATTTTGTGGCCTTGAATCTGCGAGTAGCTGGCAAGAGAGGAAGTGAAGTTGCTGGCCGTGCAAAGCCTTTCGGGGTGGAGGGGGGTAGGAGGGGGGGTGCAACACTCACCACCTTTGCCGAAGCTGTTGCCCAAGTTGTAGGATGTCCCATCGGGGTCCGAGTGAGGGTGCGCCGTCGCCATGCTCACAGCCACCAGGTCGCTCCAGTTCACCTGGCGGGGTCAGATGGGGTCACCGCTAGCCACAAAGGTAAAAGTGCAGCCCTGCAGTGTCTTGATCATGCCGATGCTGGCAAAAGGGCCTCGCGGTTAGAGGGCGGCGCTCCACCGAACCCGCGAGGGATCTTTTGGCCTTCCCTTCCGCACCGACCAGAAGTCTTGGAAGAGATGGGAGTACACACACTTGACCCCGCCGTGCACGACGTGGCGATCGACTGACTTTGGCACTTAGATTTATATTGCTGGGTGGACAGAGGCAGTTGGGTGGACAGAGGGAGGGGGCGGGGGGCGGGGGGAGGCCACGTCGACCCGACAAAGTTGCCGAGCCGGTGACGTCGACCCGGCAAACGTCAAAGGCCACGGCGTGTTCTTCGTCATCGCCGCCATTACCTTCTCCTTGGTCTGCAGGGTCACGGGGTCGATCCTGCGCAAAGACGGGGTCTCAGACATGGCGTAGAAGTCTTGCTGGTACTCCACGATGGACACCAGGTTGTTGTCGGACATCTCTGCACGGTTTGACCAAAGGCAGAAAGCAATTTGGGAAATTAAAAAAACCGACGCACGCTCGTGGATCACGCAACGCTTTCCCATGCGTGCTTGTTTTTGGCATGACAATCATCGGCGGCATCAGTTTCCCGCACCTTTTTTAACCGCGTCCCGTGTTTCTTTCGTTATTGTCGTATTTGTGCTTTGCAGCGCTTCCCGTACGAATAAAGATGGCTTAAAAAGTTATTCAAATGCAGCTCACTTGACACGAGCCTCGTCTATCAAATTGTAATAAAAGACTCGGACGCTTCTCTCTGTCCTGTGTCCTTTATTTGGGTTCGATCTCTTTTCCCTCACGGCACTCCCCTATATACCCTTCGCTCTCCAGCCCCAGGCTGCTGTCGCTCACGTAGCCCACTTCCCTATATGCAGACCCGCTGCCGTCTCGTCGTGCAGACCCCCGCTGCCCAACTCCGCCCTTGCAGACCCGCTGCTCTCTGCAGCCTCCTCGCTGCTCCGGCTGCCCCGGGGTCGGTCACCGTTGGCCGACGGTGCCGATCCTCGTGGTCCGTGTGTGTGGCGATCTCGCCACTCTCTCTCTCACTCTCTCCGCCCTGCGTGTCCTCACACTTTCCCAGTCTCCGATCACTCTCCTACTGCTTCGGGTTTTCCCCTTATAGACCTGAACCCTCTCCCCCACGTGGCATAACTCCTCCCCCCATGACGTCACTTCCAGGAGGTCGTTTACGCCCGCATTACAAAATCACTAAAACTTCACAAGCTCCGAACGCGGCGTGTAACACACACGCGCGGTCAGTTACAAATCATCAAATAATGCTACGTGCTACGAAAATGATTGTCATATGATTGCCATGCCATCAAATGATCGATTTTTCTTATTCAACAAATAGTCCAAAAATATTTTAGGAGCAATGATATACGTGCTTTGGTATTTTATAAACGCAGCTGGTATGGCTCTTGTGGATCGTACAATACCGCAGCACTGCCAGATCGCAGCAACCCAGCACAGAAACAACGAATACCATTTGCCGCTAAGTAGCAGCGACGTCGCCACGAAGCTCGTGCCAGGCCAGGTGCACCTCGCGGCCAAACAGAAGCGTCAACCAAAGGCTCGCCGTGCAGGAGGAAGGTACATTCTAGAAATGTTTGAAAATGTCAAATTGGCGATGCGAATCTCCATATTTTTAACAATCCGCATGCCGCACGCCGCTTTGCGACGTGCGGCACCACCCACGCTCGCCACGCACCTGGGACCCTGAAGCAGGCGAAGAAGTGGTCGAAAAGCGTCTTGCAGGGGTCAGGAAAGGCCACGGTGCCGAACTCAGACACCACGATGCGCTGCCGGGCCTCGTTGCGGAGGTACGAGTCGCTGCGCAGAAAGCGGCTCGAGTAGGAGACGCGGCCATCGTGCACGCGGAAACGGTGCATCAGCGCCATCCCGTCGAACCAGTGGTTGTAGCTGCGATGGGGAGACAGTCCCTCACACGTTAGCCTCCTGGTATGTTACGGTCAAACCACCACACATGACCAAGGGACAACGTATCATCACCCCGCTCACCCCACACACCCTGCTCACCCCGTCCACCCCGCTCACCCCACTCACCCCACTCACCAGTCTGGCCCCACCTCGAAGCGACCGGGCCCGTTGCGGAGGAGGGAGCCGCTAAGCCAAGCAGGGATGCGCCCGGTCACCGTAGCCTCTACGGGGCCCTCCACCTCCTCCACCGAGCGCAGCAGCGGATACAGAGGCAGCAGATCCGCGTCCTCGGCCTAACAACAACAACCTTTCAAGAGCTGCCAATGCACGTGAAGCACGAGATGGTGGTCCTTGATGATGAAAAGACGTCACGAAGCAGCTCTTAAAGAGCCGCTGGTTGCTGGGGACACGGCGAGGGGGACACGGCGAGGGGGACACGGCGAGGGGGACACGGCGAGGGGGACACGGCGAGGGGGACACGGCGAGGGGGACACGGCGAGGGGGACACGGCGAGGGGGACACGGCGAGGGGGACACGCGGCGTAGTCTTCTGCTTCAAAACAAGAGTGGTGGAGGGGGGGGGGCGTGTGCCGAGGTCGCGGTTGGCTACGTAAGGTGTGAAAGAAGTTCAACGTGCGTACACGCGGTCCGAATTTAACAAATCCGTTCAACCACTCCGCCCGGTAGGTGCCCCATTGGAGATTGCCACGAGGTCGCCCCTCCTGGCGGACTGACATCCGCATCGTCGAGGTCTACTAACGACAGTTTGTGACGTAGTGTCGTGCACGTGTGTACACGTCACAGTCGCACACTTTCTTTCCCGCCTGTTGATTGGCCAAACAGAAAATGTGCAATCGCGTATGTTTACACAAAAATAAGTGGTTTTATATTTAAACATTTTTTTAAGTTTAATTACAATAAAATCTATTTTAAACTATCTGAAAGTCCAATTACAATTTAAGAAAAATATTTTCTCCGCTAAAACCCACGGAGAAACCAATATCAACCACGGGGGTGATTGTATCCCCTCGTTTAACAATTTTACAAATAAAACTTAACTCTTCCGTTGATTGCAAGTGTAATTTATTAATCATTGTAGAATAACAGTTGCAGTGATTTTATAACGCTGTGTCTTTTTACGTTTCAAAGTCTAAGTTCATGCGAAACTGTTGGTGCGGTACGAGGAATGAGGGCGGGAGGAATGAGGGTAGGAGGAATGAGAGGTGGAGGAATGAGGGCAGGAGGAATGAGGGTAGGAGGAGGAATGAGGGCAGGAGGTTCATCACGTCCTACCTTCTGGAGGTGTCGTGTTTGCGGCTCCCCGCCATCCCGTTGCTCGCTGATCACCGTCGGCTCCATTGTGTCCCTGGAGAAGGTCGGGTCAAGGTTTACACACAGACAGTGGTGGGGCAAGGTGCGTGTGTGTGTATGGGTACGTGGGGTGTGTCAGTGTGTGTGTAGCGGTAGTTCAGCGGTGTGCATTGTGCTGCACGCCAAACCCAATATCCAGAGTTTGATTCCCGCTCACGGCCAACACAAGTGAAGATTATCCGACCCGGTCCTGGGCCTCCCCTAGGTCGACTCGGCTTCAGTGCGTAAATGCTGCATCGCCACCTCAGGAGACAAAGGCGGCCGGGCATGGAGCTGGCCACCCACCCCCTCGTGTGCCGTGCCGGCCTTCATAGGCGCTACTCGCTTACAGCACTTGCCCCCCGACAGCGTGTTTAGGGCTACGAAGGGGGATATTTGGCAATTATGGGAGCGGTGGCACAGTGATCACGCTCACGGGCTACCGTCAGTGGCAAATATTTGTAGCCAGGTCAAAATGCCTAAATACTGCGCCACTGTCCTGTTCAGTCGCTCGCTCTCGTCGAGAGAAAGAGAGAGCGGGCGGGCGAGCGAGGATGCATTCTCTCGGTAGGGGAGGGGGGAGGCGATGTTGCAACTCCGCGAGATCCCAACCGAGAAATTTGTCCGCAACCTTCAGCATCGAGGCGTTTCGCCAACAGCAGTTGCGTTGCCATTTCCTCAAAAGCGGCCAACGCTCTACCTTGTCCTCATCTGACCGCCTCTCATCTCGCCACGGCTCTGTTATTGGTCTACATTCCTAAATAATCTTAGCTCCGGCTACATCTAATAGTCCCTCCAGATCTTGCATCCATCATCACGATGGGATCGTACGAGTCGAAAAGGCCGACGGGATGAGCGTTGCAAATTAAGTCTTTTTAATCATTGTCGTGGCGCAGCCGGACCTGGCGGTGCACGGCCACAGACACTGTGGGTGCCTGGGGAAGGAGAAAGAAGTAGTAAAGCAAAAGCTTCGGCCCACAATCTGTTAAACGGGCACCAGATTCGAAACCAATTCTGATTTTGCCCCTACCCCACCCTAACTCCCCCCCCCCCCCATTGGGCCGGCACCACCACAGACCACCAGCAGCAGCATCATCATCAAAAGGCCCTCTGCCCACAGTGCGCAGCCTTGCCAAGATCAGTGACAGAACTCCACGAATGGGGCCAACCTCCAAGCAGCAGTGCAGTTTCTCTGCGGGATGGAATGTCTCCCGTGCATCCCCAAGTCGACCCACTACCCCCCCCCCCCACCACCCCACATGTGCGTCTTTGTGGCTTCGTGGGCTCCACTGCCGTGTCACCAAAGCAGCGATGATGATGATGATGGTCACTGGACGAGTCTCCTGCGGTCGCGGTGCACGGCACGTGCAGTCCAGCCCTCCTAGCCCACCCACCCAACCCTAAGCGATATTACACAACACATCTAGATAGGAGAGATGTAGCACGCTATACATGTTGTGTTATTTTATTTAAAACTTTAATGACTGCAGGGATTCATATTTTTGGTTCTTTTGGTAAAGTCACGTAGAAGGGAAACAATAAAATAATAAAAATATAAAAAATAAAATTCTCACGACGTTTCGACTGCAACACAAGAAATCATCATCAGGTGTGAAAAAACACGGCAAGAAAATTTGAAAAAAGTGGCGGTTTTTTCATAACGTCAGCACCACGGACAGCGATTTGGAAGTTGTTCAGATGGACGAGTCCATCTATCTTCTTGGTTCTTTCGGTAAAGTCACGTAGCAGGGAAATAATAAAATAATAAAAGTAAAACATAATACAATTTAATTCTCAGCGATAATTTTATTTTATTGTTTTATTTTTATTATTTTTCTCGCTGAGAATTTTATTTTATTATGTTTTATTTTTATTATTTTATTATTTCCCTTCTACGTGACTTTACCGAAAGAACCAAGAAGATGAATCCCTGCAGTCAGGAAAGCTTTAAATAGTCCATCTATGTTGAACTTCCTTCGCACCGTACGTAGACAAAAAATGAGGTGCAGCAGTGCGGGATGAGAGTCGTGATGCGAACAAGTTGGAAACGACAGATTCATTGGATAGACGTAGATTCAAAAGAATGTTCCCAGGTTAGTTAAAATGTGAATAATTTGAGATAATAGAATGGCTTTTTTTTCTTTTCAAAAAACCCGAGGCCCGTTGAGCTCCTTGGGACGCGAAGCTTTAATTTGTTCTGTGTACGGACAGATACGAAGGTTGTTTATTTGATGTCTCATGCTTTGCCGTAATTTCTATTCTCCACAACCACGTGAATGATTGCGTTGTGTTAATCCTACATACAATAGGCAGTAGTAGCGACTATTTACTGACTCTATACATCCCTACATACAGAGTCGGTAGTATCTACTACACCACTCAACGTACAGAGTCGGTAGTCTCTACTACACCACTCAAGATACAGAGTCAGTAGTATCTACTAGACCACCCTACATACACAGTCAGAAGTATCTACTACACCACTCGACATACAGAGTCAGTAATCTCTACAACACCACTCGACATACAGAGTCAGTAATCTCTACAACACCACTCGACATACAGTCAGTAGTATCTACTACACCACTCAACATACAGAGTCAGTAGTATATACTACCCCACTCAATATACAGAGTCAGCAGTATCTACTAGACCACCCTACATACACAGTCAGAAGTATCTACTACACCACTCAACATACAGAGTCAGTAATCTCTACAACACCACTCGACATACAGTCAGTAGTATCTACTACACCACTCAACATACAGAGTCAGTAGTATATACTACCCCACTCAACATACAGAGTCAGCAGTATCTACTAGACCACCCTACATACAGAGTCAGTAGTATCTACTACACCACTGGACATACAACACAGTCAGTAGTATTTGCACACATTGGGGGGGGGGGGGCGGCATCAGTGGGGGTGAGGGGCACCTGACGCTCTCTGCGAGGCATCAAAAGTTTGCATTAACCGCACACACGTGTGGCAAAAACAAGCTAACAACAAACATGCTTCTGAAAATAGTCGATCATTGAATAAATTATCCGGCGTCCAACATTAACCGTCTAAACCGGCAAAACCCGCGCTCCAAAGGCTGTAACTAGTCGGGAGATCTTCAAACACGCGTGTTGTGTTGAAGCAAGAGCTTAGGTACCGTCCATCGCCACATGCAGTCTTCCAGATTAGTGACAAGTCGACTCAACACAGTAACTTATAACAGTATTTTTGTCCGTCTCTATGTTTATTTATGCCAATTTCATGTAGGAAACCCATTAAACACGCACACAAAATATACACACAACATTTAAACGCATATCTACCAAAAATGTGATGGTGATTATGATGATTAGTGATTATCTGGCGGTTGTGAAAATCGGGGCCCCCTCCCCCGTCAAGCCACTGGATAATCAATGATCGACTGTTCATGCATTTTATTTTGAACGGAGTGGCCTCACCAGACACAGCAGGCCTTCCCGCGTGGCCTTATTTTAATGTTTTAACATCTTATCACCCGCTTAATTACAAGAAAGGGTAAAACCCATTCTTACTTGTCATCGTTTCCCTTCCCCCACCCCCACAATACTGGCAACGACAAAAACCTGTCCCCATAGACACACACACACCACCTGTCCCCATAGACAACAACCGACATTCGCCACTTAGTGGCGGTGACGTCACCACGACGCTTGTGCCAGGCTATGTGCACGTTGAGGCCATGTAGAAGTGTCAAACGCCCGCTGGCAGGAGGTCACGGGGCAGACACAGGTGCCACGGGTCGACTGACTGAGATGACAGAGATGACTGGCTGATACACCACCTGTGCCCCTCTACTGTGCCAACTTGCTGTGCTTTAGCCACCCGGCGCTCCGCTCGTTGTTGTGAGCGTCGCTCCTCTGCCCTCCGTTGTTGTTGGAGGGCGACTGCCTCCAACTGCCCAGCAGCGTCCTTAACGAGCCTCCTCCACAGAGGCGGATCGCGACACCGCTGGTACCAGTCATCGGCAAGTCCACTCAGCTCCACATCCTCCTATACCACATCACTCCATCTCTTCTCCAGCCCGTGCCGCGCCCGTTTAGCCCCCTCTATCTGGCCGAACAAAAGCTGTTTAGGCATGCGGTGGCTGGGCATAGACACACACACACCGATGAATGTGAAACTTCGCTTCCTAGGAGGTCCGTCGAGGTGCCAACAAAAGTGGGCGCCGCACGCGTTCTGTCTGTACGGGGGGGGGCCTGGGGTCGCGTGGGTCTCGCCAGGTGCTCCGTGATGGGCCGCACGCGAGCAACAAGAATTGGCCGATTGTCACAACTCAGGTGGTGGTCCAAGGCCCCGACGCAAGGTCGACACGATGGGGTTTCTGTTTTGTTTTACAGAATGAACATTAATCGCGATATCAGGGTACCCCACAAACTCGTCCTATGGTAGAATCTTTTCAAAGTCGCCGTCGTGGCGTTTCGTCCGCTCCGCTGCCTGCATTCGGCACGCGAATCAAGTCGATTCATTCCCAGTTTGATCTCCTGCGGTTGACTCCACACGCAGCCTGCCGTGAGGTCTCATCCCAAACTATTTACATTTCACCAGATGAAGCCCACCGAGCTGTACAGCTCCTTTCTTCAGAAGCAACCTGGCCACCAATGATGATAGCTCAACGTGGAGGCTTGTCATCACGTGGACAGCAGGTAAAACCTCGACACGCGTGTTTATTATTGTGGAGGGGGAAACCCGGAGGACCCGGAGAAAAATCCACGCGACCACGGGGAGAGAGAGAGAGACACCGCAAACTCCAAAAACACAGCAGCAGCAGGCGTCAGGGTCGGGCTCGAACCCACGACCTCCTGCAGACCAGGCGAGGGAGTTAACATCTCACAGCCACCGCGGGGCCCCATCCCTCCTCACCTCCGGCTGGCCGAGTTCGATTCCCGCCCACGACCCATCAACAGTGACGAATATAGAACATCGGTCCTGAGCCCACCCTAGGTCGACTCGGCCTCAAATGAGCACGCGGTGTGCAAACATCGCCACTAGGGAGACAAAGGCGGCCGGGCGTGGTGATGGCCACCCAGCCCCTCGTGTGCTGCTCGCTAACAGCACTTGCCCCAGCAGCAGGCACGAAGTGGGATGTGTCGTTGTAGGAGTCCGTGTGGACTCCGCACTCACACGCGCTGCGCTCCGCGAACGGTCTTCAAATGCTACGCCGGTGGAATCGTGAAAAATACTCCTCGTGCCAGATGGTTGGCGGTGATGATGGTGGTGGTGCCGCTATGCTGATGAAGCTGGTAATGGCGATGAACGTGATGATGCTGCTGCTGATGCCGATCGTTCTGCTGACATCGCTGCTGATGTTGGCGATTCTGACGCCGCCCATGATGTCTACGACGGCGGTGTTGTTAGCGATGCCGATGTTGTGAATGATGATGCCGATTTCGATTTAAAGCTTTCGTGACTGCAAGGATTCGTCTTCTTGGTTCTTTCGGTAAAGTCACGTAGAAGGGAAGTAATACAATAATAAAAATAAAACATAATAAAATAATTCTCACGACGTTTCGGCTACAACGCAAGCAGCCGTCTTCAGATGAAGAAATGCCGATGTTGTGAATGATGATGCCGATGTTGTGAATGATGATGCCGATGTTGTGAATGATGATGCCGATGTTGTGAATGATGATGCCGATGTTGTGAATGATGATGCCGATGTTGTGAATGATGATGCCGATGTTGTGGATGATGATGCCGATGTTGTGGATGATGATGCCGATGTTGTGGATGATGATGCCGATGTTGTGGATGATGATGCCGATGTTGTGAATGACGATGCCGATGTTGTGGATGATGGCGATGAATGCGGGCGGGGAAAGAGAGCGGAGTGACCGAGTTTGGATTATTGTGGTCGTCACCGCTTACACGAAGAGTTGCCTGCATCGTCTCCTCCGACCTTTGAGATTACAGAAGCTTAATTCCCGGTACGGCTGGAAGTCTGTGATTAAAATAAAGAGGCTTCATAGCTCATCGGATTTCTCCGGTATAGATAAATATTCTGATTATTCTCAACGATGTACCAACCAACACGTGTATCCCCATCTACAAACGCTTTATTTGGAAACGGACATGAAATTCGTGCCGATACCAAAACACAGTATCGACAAAACAACACAATGACCATCATGTACGTGCCTGCAACGATTCTTAAACAACAGCAACCACAACAACCAACCTCTCGTGTCGCTTCGCTCCTCCGCTCTCTCCAACTCGATCCACGCGATGTCCTCACGCCACCCACTCCCCGCTTTATAGATTCTCTGCCCTCCAACCCCGCCCCTCTCCACGACGCGTCGCACGCACAGCTGCGTGTGCACATACGCAGCAAGTAAACAGCGGACGACAACAACAACAATAACAACAACACTCATTCTGACTTACACAAACACAAGAGGTGATGGAATAAACTGCGTCCATTAGTTATTCTTTCACAATATTAGTTTGGCTGTTGACATTCCATATCTTATCAATAGCTTTTTATCTCTGCGTGAATTTACTTTTAAGATTAAGAAGTTTTAGATTAAGACGCTTAAGATTAAGACGTTTAAAATTAAGATGTTTAAGATTAATATGTTTGTTTTTTAAACGACTCCCCGTGAAGGCGCCAGCCAAAAAGCCACAGGTGTGGATGCCAACGAGCCACCGCCTCTTGTTCAATCAAATTAGTTGTGGTCGGTGACGCCGCTGGCAGTGGGGAACAACCACCACCACCAACAACAACCACCAACAACCACCACCACCACCAACCTCCACCACTTCCATCTTCATTTCAAGGGGGTATACAATCTGGATGTGCCCCTCCCGCCCCTCCCCAGGACCCCCCCCCCCACCTTGATACAAGGCAAGAGACGTTCTCTGCGAGCAAGGGGAGCCCCCCTAAGACGAAGAGACACTGCGAGAGGGCAGAGCTCACTGGCAGTGGTGGTGGTGAGGAGCGGTGGGGTAGCGGTTAGCGCACTGCACGACGAACCCGGCGGCCCGAGATCGATTCCCGCTCACGGCCAACACCGGTGACGATCATCTGAACCGGTACTGGGCCTCCCCTAGGTCGACTCAGCCTCAAATGAGTACCTGGTGCGGTGTGTAAACATCGCCACCGGCGAGACAAAGGCGGCCGGGTGTAGTTTCGTGCTGTGTCTAGTTTATTCTCATCCCCCCGTACCTGCGATGAGCGGAGTTCAACACACGTGCGGACACGCGAAGCGCACGAAGCCACCTCGACGCTGGGGACGCTCCGTAATTCTCCGGATCAAAAGACGTCGCCTGTTTCTCCACCTCGAATTTGAAGCAAAAGGTTGGGAAGGCGACTCGTCACGGACACGACATCGCTGTTCGCGTCATCGTGAAGAAGTTGCTCATCAATCTCGTTGCTCAGAACGATCCTCCAGAAGAAATAAGACTTCGATCAGCCTCTCCCGAGTTCAAAACAGCGCACGAGTTCACCGTTTTTTGTTGCTGGGTACTAAGTGGTATTTTTATTTCTTATGCCTAAAAACTATAGAAAATGGATATGATTCCCCACAAACTCTTGTGCGCCTTTTTTTGGAAAGCATCGACTCCTACCACGTAAAGCGATGAAACCTGTATATCATACAACAATATAGATATCATACAACAGTATAGATATCATACAACAGTATATACATAACGTTATATAACAGAACGTTTTGCTGATTGGCTGGAAGGAGCGACTGACGCAGCGTGCGCGTTGCTCACTGATTGTGAGTCATGATTACCAACAGCACGAGACGTCGTGGATCAGAAGCACGTGCATTAACTCAGACAATGGGAATTGTAATTAAAACAACGGTCACTTACGCGGATGATCGTGGAGAGGTGTGCACGCTTGGAATGGCATCGAGACACAGCAACGGGTGCTCGTAGACAACCAACACAGATTGATGGGATTACATCATCAGCTGCGGCTTGGCGAGACGCGTCACCAGCAGGGATTGAGCGCAGATGGGTAAGAACGCTTCCAACAGGACGTCCACCAAAGACAAAGATCCCCCATATAGCTTCAACAGACTGTTGGGGCAAGTGCTGTGAGCGAGCACTTATGAAGGCCGGTACGGTACACGAGAGGGAGAGGCTGGATAGCCAATACCACGCCCAACCGCCTTTGTCTCCCCAGTGGCCGTGTTTTTGCACACCGCACCAATTGCGGCCGAGTCGACGTAGTGGAGGTCCATGACCGGTTCAGATAATCGTCACAGGTGTTGGTTGTGAGCGGGAATCGTTCGCCGGGTTCGTAGCGCAGCGCGCTAACCGCTGCCACGCTGCCGTTCCCCGTCCAGCAGCAGCAGCAGCACCGCCACAAGCAGCAGAAGCAGCAGCAGCATCAGCACCACAAGCAGCATCATCAGCAGCTCCGTGTGCAGGCACTGCTTGGATCTCAGGACCAGCGGCTCTGGGGAAGCCTACATCCAGCGGTGGATTGACCATGGCTCATTGGTGGAAATGGCGGCGGGGGGGAGGGAGACTGATATCTATTCGTGCCTCTGGACGGGAGGTGATAGACGGGGCTAGGTGACATCATTGGCACAATCAGTCACGTCGGGCTTGGCTTGCAGGGGGGCCTTCAGGAGGTTCTGCATATTGGTGCGGCGGTTTATTGTGAAAGGTACCCCAGTAATTGGCCACGAAAAAAGTTGACTTAAAATGTCAGCCGATTAATTGACTTGGTCGACGTCTTGTCAGCAGCGTGGGCAGCGTGGGATCAGCTGATCCATGGTTTTGTGCCAACCGTGCCAACTTGCGACTAGCACAGTAAGCTACATACAGTGTGAAAGAAGTTCAATATAGGTACATTGTGACCGCCGGGGTCACATTGCGAGCTGTTCTTCACTTTCCCATGGATGAAAGAGTTGCCCGCGTCTGCCACGTGCTGTTCCGCACGGGGTTAGAGGTCGAATCCCGGTCGTTGTTGTGTTGGGTCTGTAACGAGCTTGCTTGTTCGTGACGCTGCTGGTGTGCTCCTATCGTTTCCGTGAATCGTTCATTGTCGTAACTTGCTGATCCCGTGCCCCTACTGGACATGTGCGAAAAGCAGCTTCATAGCTCATCGGATTCCTCCTGCAGTCTGAATAAAAGATGCTGATTCTGGTGCGGTGCCACGATTCGCGACACGTTTCTTTCCCGGGCAGAGGGTTCTCGCGTCGAGGGCTTCCGCCCCTGTCCCAGAAGGAGGACCGGGACTTGAGGCGCGACTTTGGGTTTAGGGTTTGGGAGCTCCTCGTGGACAAGTGGCTCTGGGTTGTCCACGATCCTCTGGCACATCCGGCAGGTCGGGGCGTCTCTGCAGATCTCGGGCGCCGCGGTGGCTATGAGATGCAAACTCCCTCGCCTGGCATGCAGGAGGTCGTGGGTTCAATCCCGACCCTGACGCTGCCTGCTTTATATTGGAGATATGTGAGACCCAGTTTGTGAGCTATCCACTTGCAGGATCATTCTTGTCGTAGTCCCACTCAGCATGGTGGCAATCGAAATTTCCAACAAATTCAACTGGGGGGGGGGGGGGGGGTTGTGGGAATGATGGTAGGGCAGGGGTAGGCCGCTCTGCAAGTTGGTGGTTTGTAAACATTTGTGACGGTGAGACGCCCGATCGTTACCGTGGCCGTTGACGTCCCTGGATGTCTTGGGTTCCTCCAGCATCGTGGCTTCTCAGGTCACGGTCTCATGTCAGTGGCTGAGCCCCACACGGCGGCGAGTTGACAGAAAGGTGGTGGTGGTGGTGGCGGCGGTGGCGGTGGCAGCGGCGGCGGTGGTGTGTGGTGGTGGTGTGGTGGTGTGGTGGGTGGTGGTGTGTGGTGGTGGTGTGTGGTGGGTGGTGGGTGGCGGTGGCGGCGGCGGCGGCGGCGGCGGCGGTGTGTGGTGGTGGTGTGGTGGTGTGGTGGGTGGTGGTGTGTGGTGGTGGTGTGTGGTGGGTGGTGGGTGGTGGGTGGTGGTGGCGGTGGCGGTGGCGGCGGCGGCGGCGGCGGTGGTGTGTGGTGGTGGTGTGGTGGTGTGGTGGGTGGTGGTGTGTGGTGGTGGTGTGTGGTGGGTGGTGGGTGGTGGGTGGTGGGTGGTGGGTGGCGGTGGCGGTGGCGGCGGCGGCGGCGGTGGTGTGTGGTGGTGGTGTGGTGGTGTGGTGGGTGGTGTGTGGTGGGTGGTGGGTGGTGGGTGGTGGGTGGTGGTGGCGGCGGCGGCGGCGGCGGTGGTGTGTGGTGGTGGTGTGGTGGTGTGGTGGGTGGTGGTGGTGTGTGGTGGGTGGTGGGTGGTGGTGGCGGTGGCGGTGGTGGTGGTGGTGGCGGTGGTGGTGGTGGTGGCGGTGGTGGTGGTGGTGAGGTGGCGGTGGCGGTGGTGGTGGAAGCCGCTCGTCATGAACTGGCTCTCGACGTTATTGTCGATGCGAGTCCCGCATGAGAAGTTTCACTTCGTGCACCACGAGGTCCTCAACGTCGAACTGTCCACACTCGTCTCTACCGACAGCTCCGTGGTTTTGGGTTTGACAGTGGAAGTGGCCATTTGCACGGACAGTATAGCCAGGGCCGCCCATAAACTAAATAAATTAACTTTTTTTGTATCAGGTATGGCCCACTGAGCTATATATATTTTTTATCCAGAAATTACCTGGCCACAAATGATAGCTCAATGAAGCGGCGTATCATGTGGAACTGTCTAGCAGCCAAATTCTCTCAACGTGGAGGGGAAAACCCAGAGGACCCAAAGAAAAATCCACGCGATCACGGGGAGAGACGTGAAAACTCCAAATATACAGCAGCAGGCGTCAAGGTCGGGATCGAACCCACGACCTCCTGTATACCAGGCGAAGTAGTTAACATCTCACCACCGTGGCGTCCAAAGTGGAGTGCGGGGCATGTCCCACTGTGTGTCCATCTGACGCCTTCAAGCTAAACCGGAGACATCGCATCTGACACCGTAACGTCCAAGCACGGGGCCTGGGGCGGTCACCCCGGTTCGCCCGTACCCTTCGGGGACGGCTTGGCATCTATAGAGTCGCTATTCATGCTAAACATACGGCAGGTCGTAATCCGGTAGCAAAAAAGGTGGACCGTAGAAGAGGGGTCACAAAAACTGGACTGGAGTTGATAACACTGGTCAACAAAAAAAACATAATTTTCTGGCCTGGACTTTTTCAGCTGTTTTAGACTAATTCAGGGTGCTGATTCCAAATCTGATCTCAGATTTGCTCTATCACATCTCATTTTT